GAAATTAATAAATAGTGTTCCGACACCTCACCAACTGGCTGTTCCCTCATCTCTCTCCCTTCCCTCAGGCCACCCTATTCCCTGAGACACAATATTGAAATTAGGCCAACAAATCACCCCACAGTGGCCTTCCAGGTGAAAGGAAAAAGTAAAAGGAAAAGTTACACATCTCTCACTCTAAATCAAAAGCTAGAAATGGTTAACCTTAGTGAAGAAGGTGAGTCAAAAGCCAAGGTAGGCTGAAAGCTAGTGTTCTTGTGCCAGCTGGTCCAGTTGTGAATTCAAAGGAAAAGTTCTTGAAGGAAATGAACAGTGCTGCTTAAGAAAGTGAAACGGCCTTATTACTGCTATGAGTGGTCTGGATGGAAGTTCAAACTCTTCAATTCCATGAAGGCTGAGAGGTGAGGAAGCTGCAGAAGAGGCAGAGGTTAGCCCATGAAGTTTAAGGAAAGAAGCCATCTCTATAACCTAAAAGTTCAAGGGGAAGCAGCAAGTTACCCAGAAGATTGAGCTAGGATAATTACTGATGGCTACAGTAAACAACAGATTTCTGTGTAGACAAAACAGCTTTCTATCTGAAGAAGATTCCACCTAAGGACTTTCACAGCTAAAGAGGAAAAGTCAATGCCTGGCTTCAATGCTTCGAAGGACAAGCTAACTCTTTTGTTAAGGGCTAATGCAGCTGGTGACTTTAAGTTGAAGCCAGTGCTTATTTACCATTCTGAAAATCCTAGGGTCCTTAAGAATGATGCTAAATCTACTGTGCCTGTGCTCCAGCGACAGAATAACAAAGCCTGGATGACAGCTCACCCACTTACAGAATATTTTAAGTCCACTGTTGAAACCTACTACTCAGAAAAAAGAAATTATTTTCAAAATATTACTGTCCGTTGACAATACACCTTGTCACCCAAGGGGCTCTGATAGAGACATAGAATTAGATTAATGCTGTTTTCATGCTTGCTAACACGACATCCATTCTGCAGCCCATGGATCAAGGAGTAATTTTGACTTTCAAGTGTTTTTATTTAAGAAATACATTTTGGGATACCTAGGTGGCTCAGTCTGTTTAAGCATCTGCCTTCGGCTCAGATCATGATCTTAGGGTCCTAGAATCAAGCCCCACATTGGGCTCCCTGTTCAGCAGGGAGCCTGCTTCTCCCTTTCCCTCTGTCCCTCCCCCTGCCCATGCTGTCTCTGTCTCTCTCCCCCCCTTAAATAAATAATTTTTTAAAGAAATACATTTCATAAAGTTATAACTACCATAGATAATGATTTCTCTGATGAATCTAGGCAAAGTAAATTGAAAGCCTCCTGGAAAGAACTCACCATTCTAGTGCCATTAAGAACACTCATGATTCATGGAGAGAGGTTCAAATATTAACACTAACAAGAATTTGGAAGAAGGCGATTCTGACACTCATGGATGACTTTGAGGCGTTCAAGACTTTAGTGGAAGAAGTAACAGCAGATGTGGTGGAAACAGCAAAAGAACCAGAATTAGCAGTGGAGCCTGAAGGGATGGGTGAATTGCTTCAATCTCATGAGAATACTTAATGGAGGAAGAGTTGCTTGTTATGTGGGAGCAAAGAAAGTGGTTTCATAAGAAGCAATCTATTCCTGGTGCTGTGAAGATTTTTGAAATAACAAAATATTTGGAATATTGCATAAACTTAGTTGATAAAGCAGCAGCAGGGTTTCAAAGTCTTGACTACCAAGTTTTGAAGGAAGTTCTACTTCTTTCTGTAATATTATATGCTACAGAGAAGTCATTCACAAAAAAAGGAACGATCAACGTGACGAACTTTACAGTTGTCTTATTTGAAGAAATTGCCACAGCCACCCAACCGCCAGCAACTACCACCCTGACCCCTCAGCGGCCATCCGCATTGAGGGAAGACCCTCCACCAGCAAAAAGATGAAAACTAGCGAAAAATGCAGAGGATGGTTAGCATTTTTCAGCAATAAAGAACTTAATTAAAGTATAGATATTTTAAAGATGTCATGCTATTGCACGCTAAATAGATTACAGTATAGTGTAAACATAGCTTTTACATGTACTGGGAAACAAAAAACCTCATTGGACTCACTTTATTGTAATACTTGCTTTTTGGTGGGGGTCTGGAATTGAACCTGTAGTATCTCCAAGGTCTGCCTCTAAACAAAAATGGAGAGCCTCGGCAATTTTTAAAGATTGTAAAGGGATTCCAAGACCAAAAATTTGGAGAACTGCTAAGACTTCATATATCATCTACCGTTACATGGTGTCCTCATTTCTCACAAATGCATTTTACCGGATAAAAACTGTTTCATCTAAAAAAAAAACAAAAAAACAAAAAAAACCAAACAAACAAAACTGTTTCATCTAGTTCATGAAAATTACTTTATTAAATGCTTTCTCTGTATCCTTATTCTCTAGCACAATAACTAATTATTAAACTGTGTTTTCTTTTGTGCCTGTTTATATCTACGTGGGTCTTTTGAGCAGCACAATGTGGACTTCATTTTTTAGTTCAGCCAAAAATCAGCAATAGTTGATGGATTTGTTTTATGTTCTATCACCTGCAGTTTTATCTTTATTTAAAAAAAAAAGATTCTATAGAGAGACAGTGAAAGAGAGCATGAGAGGTGAGAAGGTCAGAGAGAGAAGCAGACTCCCCATGGAGCTGGGAGCCCAATGCGGGACTCGATCCCAGGACTCCAAGATCCTGACCTGAGCTGAAGACAGTTGCTTAACCATCTGAGCCACCCAGGCGCCCTACAGTTTTATCTTTTATCTTTACTTTTGCTTTCCTTAAATATGCTTTCTTGTAGTGCATCTTAAAGTCTTTTTTTTTTAAGATTTTATTTATTTATTCCACAGACAGAGACAGTGAGATAGGGAAGACAAGCAGGGGGAGTGGGAGAGGGAGAAGCAGGGTTCTCACTGAGCAGGGAGCCTGAGGCAGAGCTGGATCCCAGGACCCTGGGATCATGACCTGAGCCAAAGGCAGATGCCCAATGACTGAGCCACCCAGGCACTCCAAAGTCCTTTTTTTTTTTTTTTTTTTAATCAGAAAAAAAACTTCCCTCGTCTGTCCAACTTTCTCTCTTTTTTTTTTTTAATTTTATTTATTTATTTGAGAGAGAGAGATCACAAGTAGGCAGAGAGGCAGGCAGAGAGAGGGGGGGAAAGCAGTCTCCCTGCTTAACAGAGAGCCAGACATGGGGCTCTATCTCGGGACCCTGAGATCATGACCTGAGCCAAAGGCAGAGGCTTACCCCACTGAGCCACCCAGGCACCCCTCTGTCTATCTTTCTCACCATTTCAGCAGCATCATATTTTAAAGTAACTTTTCATTGTTTTCTATAATTTTGCTATTAATAGGATAGTACTAAGAAAGTACAACTTTAAATTTCCTTCCGTCTGGAGATGAAAATGGAGTCTAGTCTGTAACATGTCTTGGCAGCATAAAGCCCTTTATAAAATTATGCATATATATCTTATAGTTCTGTCAGGATATAATGTAATTTCCCACTTGAATTTTCTTTCTTTTTTTTTTTTTTCTATTTTGTCCTCCATAAACCTTGAGCTCTAGCTAGCCCTCAACAGTTGTCAAATCTCCATTGTTTTCAGGAAGTGAACTTCACAGCTGTGAGCCTTTGTTGACAGATTATTTCATCTCCTCTGGGTCTTAAATTATTTTCCCTTACTCTGAAGTGAAAACTCAGTGCATGTTTCCATACACTGTACTTGGGGTTATAACTCAATTTCTCTTAATCTTGTGTGAATCCCCTGATCCCCACCCTTAACCCATATTCTTCCTCCCAAAACGCGGGTACCCATTCTTATCCTAACACTACCATGGTTTTCTCAACTCTAATTATAATTTGAAGAATTCTATATTTCCTCTGTGATGGGGAAATTTTTATGGTTGGTTAGTTGGTTTGAAGTTGAAAAACTTAACAATAATATACCTTAAATTCTCTTTTGGAGGATAGTTGCTTACTGAATTCTTGCTACAAACATACCAAAGTGGTTATTTCTATATTTCTGTGGTTATTTCTATAATTCTAAATTACTAGGGGTTTCCCCCTCTGGCCCTTTGATTGTTACTAGATTAGTCTTTAGCTGGATGTGGGCTTTGCGGGCTAATTCTGCTTCAACGGTGCCAGTTCTGTTTGCTCCTGGGCCAGATCCCCTCTTCCTTACATCTTCATGTATATTGTTCCTCTGTAGCATTTACAAGACCCAATTTAATAGCGTAGTGCCTTTTTGTTTTGTTTTGGTTTTTGGCACTCGCTATTTCTTCTTTTATTTGCTGTTAAAGTAATAAGTGTACGTTCCGTTGCACTTGCCTGAGAGTCCTGAACCGGTTGTGGGTTTCCCGCCATCTGGGTTCTGGCTGGCTTGCATTCCCCTTTGATGTTGTAATACTTGTTCATTGAACTTGAGTGTGGGGCTTATAGGACTTGTTTGCTTTTTTTCCCCCCCAAGATGTGCACATTTTTTTTCTTAAGCTTATTTTTCTGTTTTGTGCTGTTATTTTTAATTGCTTCCGACTGGGAGGTGGGGCCAAGAGTGAGATTGGGCTTGAATTTGGCTTGAATTTGCTATTACTCACATTTCCCCAGAAGTCCCGCACACACTTGCTCTCTGCCTTTGACATACCATTTTTGAAAAGCCGTTGATTCTTGGCATAAATGGTGTTAAGAAGAAGATGGGCCCTGGGTAGGGATGTTCAGGAATCCAGTTCTGTACAGTCATGAGCTTGGCCATCTGGAAGTCTCTTCTTGCTCAATGAAATGGAGTAAACATTGTCCATTATGAAATCCACCACACAGGCTGCCAGGGACGAATGGGAACCCACCCAAAGCCAATCACGGCTCTGACAGGGAAATTGGCTAGCACTGCCGGAGACGACTCCAGCCTCCCCCGGCCCTGATGTCACAATTCGGAGGCTGCTGCCTGCCTAGGAGGTTGTAGAAAGCTCTGTAGGTTCTCTCTGTGTGTCCTACAGGACTCCTCGGGCCAAGTATCTCTCTGATGGCTTTCATGAAAAAATATCTCCCCCCCATTCTGGGGTTCTTCTTGGCCTACTACTACTATTCCGCGAATGAGGAATTCAGACCAGGTAAGTACCAATGTATCTAATGTGGGAGGAAGAGATAAAAAACACAGGGGTGCCTGGAGGGTTTCTGAGGATCAGGATGAGTTCCTGAACCCCAAAGTTGCTGAACAAGAGGAACCCTGAGGTGGGACTGTATTTCTGTGTTTTCCAGACACGGAAGGATATGGATAATAGCAGTGTGGGGAGGGGTAAGCATGTCACCAACAGACTGCCAAATAGTCCATGCTTTATTTGGCACCCTTCATGGAAAGCAATTTCAGATTCCCTACAAAAAATGAGGGTAATTCCAAAATTTACAGCACAGGCAGATAATCGGGCTCTAAGGAGGGACTGATAAGTGGGAGACCAGAAAGGACTCTGGAGTTGATGACTAAATAGTAGTGAGGGGAAAATCCCTGGAATTTCTATGAGCACATGTGTTTTGATGACTTTTTGAGTCTTATTTCAATTGAGTAAAATTGGGTAGTCCAGAAATGTCTGGAACTCCTGTGTCTTAGCTGAAGCCTCCGTCTATGGACATTTGTAAGAAGGACAGCAAGAAGGCTTGTTTTGAGCAATCAACCTAAGCCTCCGTTTCAGAGCATGTTTATGAAAGACTTGAACTGTTCCTTCATTGATTTTGCAGTTTGAGAAAAGTTGGTCTGGGCTCATAATCTTTAGACGTTGAGGTAAGGTTGTCCACATCCAGAGTGGAAGGAAGACTGCTGCTGGCTTGGGTATGGCCCTCACTTCCTTTTGGGTTTCACAGAGATGCTCCAAGGAAAGAAAGTGATTGTCACAGGGGCCAGCAAGGGGATTGGAGAACAGATGGCCTATCATCTGGCAAAGATGGGAGCCCATGTGGTGGTGACAGCAAGGTCTAAAGAAACGCTAAAGAAGGTGAGGGTTCTGCACCCACGGACACATGTCACATACACATGCCAACACACAGAAACTGGCACAGCCATACACACCTACAAACACACACACACACACACACACACACAGGTTCAAACACCCACAGGAATATAAAGAGAATGCATTTAAGCTTTGATTCCTATGCACACACACACACACACACACACACACACATCTATCTCTCTCTCTCTATCTGTCTACCTATCTATGTATCTATTCTCACAGACATGCCTATGCACACACATTTACATTTGGGATCACGGATATATAGATAAGTGCTCAGAGACCAAAATTCTAGTACCTACTCATGAATTCATATTCTCATCCCCATTCAAACTCTCAGACACATGCTTTCTCATATACTCAGACTTACAAACCCAAGGATATAAACATTCACAAACTTAGGGCTACTCACACGGAGACTAGCATCCACACCAAGAATGGATTCACATACATCTATTCACAGAAACTCATAAGCACAAGTCATGAACTTAAACCCCAGCACAGTGATGATTTCTTTACTTACACCGTCGCTGAAATACTTCCAACAGAGGGCCAAGATTGTGTCAGGTGGCACTTAGCAATGCACATACTCACTGAACTCACACTCGTGCACATATATCCCTACCATTCTTACCAAAACAGGGTTGTGAGCAACTTCCTTTTAAACCCCCATTACTTAAGAGATTGCCCCCAAAGTCTGCAACCAAGACTGACACCATCGCTACTATGTCCCCGCAGGTGGTATCCCACTGCCTGGAGCTTGGAGCAGCCTCAGCACACTACATTGCTGGCTCCATGGAGAACATGACCTTTGCAGAGCAATTTGTTGCCCAAGCTGGAAAGCTCATGGGTGAGGCCGCTTCTCCTCCCTCGTCTTCTGGACTCTGTTCTAAGGGTCACCAGGGAGCTTTGGGGAGGGGGAGAATGGGAGGAAAGGTATCCCCCCGGATGGTTTCTCTCAACACAGCCATCTCTTGCAGGGGGACTAGACATGCTTATTCTCAACCACATCACCAACACTTCTATGAATCTATTTAGTGGTGATATCCACCTCGTGCACAGAAGCATGGAAGTCAACTTCCTCAGTTATGTGGTCCTGAGCGTTGCTGCTTTGCCCATGCTGAAGCAGAGCAATGGAAGCATTGTGGTCGTCTCCTCGAAGGCTGGTGAGTGGGGCTGAGACCAGTATGGAAGGCAGGAGTGGGAGACGTGCCAGTGGTGGTGTTGGGGGCTCTGCAGTGAATGTGAAGTTTTGTCCATTTCCATGCAGAGGAGTAATACTATATAAACTAGAATTTTAAATGTTCACAGTGCAAAATCAATTAATAAACCAGTCGATCAATCTTCCCAGTGATACTAAGCAAAAGCTGATTCACAGCTTGCTCCTGTGCATGAGGAAGTAGGCATATGAGTGTGAGGCTTGAGTGTATCAATACAGCGAGAAGCACGTGTGCTGAGTGAAAGAGACACTGTGAAGAACAAGTGGGACCATAAGAAATAAGGGGCTGTTCAAGGCAGATGGGCTGCAAGGTTCCTGGAAGGAACAGAGAAAGAGCAGTAATTCAAACAAACTTGGTGGTTTGTGATCTACAAACAGAAGTCTAAAGGGACATAGAGAGATTGGGGGAGATACAGCTCATCTTGATCCTAAGGGAGAGACCTGGTCACGATGGATAGGATTTTGCTTCTGCCATGACCAAAAGCTATAGGCTGGTGAAGTTAGTTGATAAAAAGGTAGAACTGAGAAGTGGAATATTTTAACATAGATGTGTCTGGTACGCGGGTCAGGCTAAGGCAAAATGAAATGAAGAACAGAAACAAATACACTGTATTAGCAGATCTGCCTAAATTGGGAGTGTTCTTCAAAATCTGAACTTATTACCTTAAGAGTGCTATTGAAACACCAGGAGGGTAGGGAGAGAGTGTGTACAGAGATATATTCATGAAGAGAACACTGTATGATCAAGAAAGATCATTGACTCTTTGGACGGTGGTAGTATCAGACGTTGTCCCCAATAAAGAGCTAGAGATTTTCCAGCTTCGGGAGTTTGTTTTGTCACGAGTCCAGGAGAGAAGTCCCACACCTACTTGTTGATTAGTCAGAAGGATGTGGCAAACACCAGGATTAAAATCTGCACTCTAAATGTGGTTCCTGGCAAAGTAAAAACAAATAACCTGCAGACACTGTAATTCTTAAGTATTTCACAAACTACTATGAGCTGTTACTGTAACTAAGAACACCATCGATGTTGTAAAGAATTTTATTTCCTGGACAGGAAAGGCCCGCATAGTGACGGGATAAAAGGGCAGTGTGTCTGTGCTACCCGCCAAACGGAGGGATTGATATGCATCCCTGCGCTTCCCAGACAACACAGACTCCGCACTCCTCCCCAGACACAGCCTCTCTCCAGGCTGAAAGGAAGGAGAGCTTCCGGATGCATACTGAGTGGGAGGGTGCTGGGCACATCCCCAATCCATCCGAGGGCATTGGCCAATACCCTCACATCAGTCATGGTTTAGGTGGCTTTAATGATTTAAGTTGATTAAATAATATACCCATTCTAGGCAAAGAGTGTGCTTCATCTTTGCCTAGAGAAATTGAACTTTCTATAACGTAGACAATGTCTTAGTGTTCTCAGAAGGAGCAAGAATTCCTGTAGAAGTCCAAAGACATGATGAAAGTCTGATAACTTCTGCTTCCACACATCTTCAATGCCTACCAAAAGTCGCTTCATAAAGTGTGTGGACTCAGAGATGGAAATCTAGTGGAACTACTACCCTTCACATCTGCTGTTTGTGTAGCTCAGAGTTCAGTCTGTTTGCTTTGAAATATGTCTGTGAACTTGCAAAGTACAGACACTGCTTTCTCTTCCTAACTGAAGAATTTTTCTGTTCTATGCTGTATTTTTTTTAAATATTCAGAAAACACATTCATTAATCCTTCCTCCTTAAAATCTGAATTCCACAAATGTGGGATGCTAATCCTCAAATTGATCCTAAGGTCAGCCAAAGAGTATTGGGATGGATTTTTAATCACTCCTTCCAGGGAATGCATTCAGTCATTTATTGAATTATGGTGATAAGCGATTGTTTTTTATCCCCAGTGCATTTCCAGGTGTTGCATTACCTAGAAATCTTGTACTTTTAATACATTCTTTAAAGCCTCAGCTTTATATGTGCTTTAACATCGAGACACTATTGCTGCCTCTGGGAATTTCCTTACAGTCCGCATCTACCCATGTTTGGGGTGCCTACTGCTCAAGTTTTTACATATATATAATATCTAGTTACATTGATTCGTCTCCCCTCCTTCCACCACGTGCTAGTTTGGCCATGAGTTGAGCTACTATAACAAACACTCACACTTACACTGGCTTGCACAAATCAAAATCTATCCTTCCTCTCATAGAACAGCCTGGAGTAAGCAGTCTAAGACTGATACAGTTGATCTGTCCCACAAAGTTGTCCAGGAAACTCTCTGTCTCAGAGCTGCCATCCCTAGGGCGTTATCCTCACCCATATGTCCAGGTCTGATATTAGCATATCAGAATTCTAGCTACAGAAAATGGAGAGAGAAGGACACAACCTGAAAGTCTGTAAAGTCTTCTACCACAGCTGGCGGCCATTGTGGTCTTTATTCAGAGTGGATTTGTGTCCAACTGAAAACCAGGGGTTCTAGTTCTACAAAACACACCGATGTTAACAAGTAACTAGGGGTGTCTCTCTCCCTCATCACCCATGCCAAGATAAGGCATATCTATATCTGATATAAGATCAGAAGGCGGGAGTCCGTCCAGGCCACCCCATGGGTCTACTGCACACCATAAACTCGCACTCCAGACTTGATCTCTCCAGATTTGAGGTCTGTCATGAAAACAAAACCCCTTCCAACTGGCAGCAGTGTGGGACACAGTGGGGCAAGGGAAAGCACAGAAGGAGAATGCCTAGATGGTATTTGTGAAGCAAACGGAGAGGGAGATACTACTACTCCAATGTGACTGGAAAAGAAATCACTGAATTGGGCAAAGAGCAGTTGAAAACATCTGGAAAAAGTTTATCGGCCATTAATCAAAATGGGTCTTCTTGACTTAGGTTCAATTTTCAAAAAGTAAAGGTCACTGCCTTTTCATATCCCTTGGCTCTGTGAACCCTGTTAACGATGGCCCTTCACATCAGTCACACGCATGACAGCCAGAATCCAGCTTCTAAGGCTGTTGCTCTGCCCCTCCTTTACGGCCTCTCGGGACTCACAGACAAATCCTGCAGTCCTCCTGCCCCCTTCTCCTCTAGGGACCTCACTTCCCATGAAATCCTTGTCAGTTCTCGCCAGACCCTTTCCTCTTCCTCTTATCCAATACATTTTGGAAAATTAGCTTTAAAATTCTACCAAGGCTAACCACACCAGGCCCACATTAAGTGTAGGGATATTGATGCTTCCGTATCAAGAAAAATGTAAGTCATATTTTGAAGTGCAACTGCACATAATACAATTCTGGGTTTCTTTAAATATTCAAAATGGAAAACTAAAGGAATAAGAGGACCTTGCCAATGGCCCCTGAATGCTCAGACCTCTCTTTGCCAGCTCTGTTAAGTGTCTCTGGTTACCTATTCATTATTTTCCAAGTAAATCCTCTTTTGAAAAGATTAACTTTCTGTATTTACTTTTTATTTTTATTTTTATTTTTTTTTTAATTTTATTTTTCATAAACATATAATATCTTTTTATCCCCAGGGGTACAGGTCTGTGAATCGCCAGGTTTACACACTTCACAGCACTCACCATAGCACATACCCTCCCCAATGTCCATAATCCCACCCCCCCACACCCCCCCATTAACCCTCAGTTTGTTTTGTGAGATTAAGAGTCACTTATGGTTTGTCTCCCTCCCAATCCCATCTTGTTTCATTTACTCTTCTCCTACCCCCTTAACCCCCCATATTGCATCTCCTCTCCCTCATATCAGGGAGATCATATGATAGTTGTCTTTCTCCGATTGACTTATTTCGCTAAGCATGATACCCTCTAGTTCCATCCATGTCGTCGCAAAAGGCAAGATTTCATTTCTTTTGATGGCTGCATAGTATTCCATTGTGTATATATACCACATCTTCTTTATCCATTCGTCTGTTGATGGACATCTAGGTTCTTTCCATAGTTTGGCTATTGTAGACATTGCTGCTATAAACATTCGGGTGCACGTGCCCCTTTGGATCACTACGTTTGTATCTTTAGGGTAAATACCCAGCAGTGCAATTGCTGGGTCATAGGGTAGCTCTATGTTCAACATTTTGAGGAACCTCCATGCTGTTTTCCAGAGTGGCTGCACCAGCCTGCATTCCCACCAACAGTGTAGGAGGGTTCCCCTTTCTCCGCATCCTCGCCAGCATCTGTCATCTCCTGACTTGTTAATTTTAGCCATTCTGACTGGTGTGAGGTGGTATCTCATTGTGGTTTTGATTTGTATTTCCCTGATGCCGAGTGATGTGGAGCACTTTTTCATGTGTCTGTTGGCCATCTGGATGTCTTCCTTGCAGAAATGTCTGTTCATGTCTTCTGCCCATTTCTTGATTGGATTATTTGTTCTTTGGGTGTTGAGTTTGCTAAGTTCTTTATAGATTCTGGACACTAGCCCTTTATCCGATATGTCATTTGCAAATATCTTCTCCCATTCTGTCAGTTGTCTTTTGGTTTTGTTAACTGTTTCCTTTGCTGTGCAAAAGCTTTTGATCTTGATGAAATCCCAATAGTTCATTTTTGCCCTTGCTTCCCTTGCCTTTGGCGATGTTCCTAGGAAGATGTTGCTGCGGCTGAGGTCGAAGAGGTTGCTGCCTGTGTTCTCCTCAAGGATTTTGATGGATTCCTTTCTCACATTGAGGTCCTTCATCCATTTTGAGTCTATTTTCGTGTGTGGTGTAAGGAAATGATCCAATTTCATTTTTCTGCATGTGGCTGTCCAATTTTCCCAACACCATTTGTTGAAGAGGCTGTCTTTTTTCCATTGGATATTCTTTCCTGCTTTGTTGAAGATGAGTTGACCATAGAGTTGAGGGTCTATTTCTGGGCTCTCTATTCTGTTCCATTGATCTATGTGTCTGTTTTTGTGCCAGTACCATGCTGTCTTGATGATGACAGCTTTGTAATAGAGCTTGAAGTCCGGAATTGTGA